TCCTGTGTTTTGGTATTTTGGTTTACATATTCCTTAAGCATAACTTGTGAATGCAAAGGACTTTCAAATCTTATCCTTATCCCATCCTTTTAACTTCTGTACAATAGAGCTGAAAACATAATCTGTCTTTTTTATGGTTTATGTATTGATTTCTACAATAGATTAGTACGTATCTCAAAGAAGTGTTGAGTCTGTGCATGTCGATTTTCAAAGCATGGGGAAATGAACTGAAGCCAGTGGTTGCCTGGAGAGAAAATTAATCTTTACTGTATGCATTGTAAAATGCTCAACAGTAATTACAAGTACAAATGATTTCTACTTGTAATAAAAACTCCTCTGTTGTGATATGATACTTTCTTACATGCACTTGTTCAAAAACTCTTAGATCTCTACAAGTGCCTGGCTGAGGAAGAAGAACACAGTGCTGTTAACAGCTTCCTACAAGACCTAATGGAGCAAGAAGTGTTGGAGTCTGGGATGATGGAGGAACTGGTACTGGATGTTGGACAAACAAGGAAGAAGTTCAGAGACCCAATTGTCACCATGGAGGCACGACACCAGCAGGTACAGTGACCATAGGTATGCATAAGAGATGTGAAAACAGCCACTGTGAGCAGTGCTGAGAATAATCTGGAAAGATGGCCACCCAAGCTGTGTTCTCATTTATGCTAATTGCCACTGAAGGTGCGAGAGAACAGGGCTCGGCAGGAGGCTGAAAGGCAGAGGCAGCAGAGAGAACGGAAGGCTCAGCTGGCTGCCAGAGAGGAGGCAAAGAGGAGGGAGCAAGATGAGGAGATGATGAAGAAACGGGAGGCACGTAGGCAAGAAGAGTTGATGCAGCAGGAGATGGTTAGATTGCGACGCCAGATGGAGGAGAGAAGATTCCTGGGACAGCTGGTTAGACACAGGTATGGGGTCCACACCAGCTGCTGTTCACCTTTGCTGAAGTGGTTACAACAATCCCTTGTATCTGAAATTACCCTTAGCTACCTGACTGTTTGCACTCAGTGGGGTCTTTCCTGTTCCACTTTCTCATAGTGAATATACAGCAGTGTTCTAGTGGATGGTACATAAGCTTTTGGTCAGTATATAGTAGTAGTAGTAGCTGTATGTTTATTCCACAGGCAAAGGGAGAGAGAGGAGATGCAGGGCACAGCCAGGAGCCTCCAGTTAACTCCAACACTTCCCAAAAAACAGCAGCAGAAGGACAAAGAGCAACACTATACAAAACAGAAAATTCAAACCATGGTTCACATCAACAACTTGAAGGTTGGTACCTGGACTGTGTGTGTTTTTGCAGGTTGCTTCACTGAATGGAACAATGTTCACAGTATCTGTTGCACATACCTTTGTTTGCATGTTCTAGTGTTTGCAGAGGCATTTCTCTGGATGGTATTCAGTGGTGTTGGACCAAAGGCTACGTATGGGTAAGGTTCTGGCCCTCTGTGACTGGAAGAGGCAGCTGAGAGCATGGCGAGCTTGGCGAGCAGTAGTGTGGACAGAACAAAAGCAGCGAGAAGTGGCGAGAACAGAGGAGGAGCTACGAGCTGAAAACAGGTAAGAACCACTACCAATACTGAAAATTAAACTTTTAATTAGGAGTGTATTTGTAGGATGCTCACTGATAGAACATTTAAATACCATTATCCTAAGCAAACAATAACTGAGGTTTAAAAACACCCGTTAACCCCTCCAGACAATGCCAACTGGCTGTGAAGAGCGACCGAAGGCGGTTGCTACGGCGATGTCTGAGTGAGTGGCAGCTATGGTGCCGGATGGAGAGGGAGCAACGAGAGCTTTTGGCCCAGCAGCAGGAAACAAGACGCAAGATGGCTGCCTTAATTAATGCTGCATCAACAGGCAAACTCCAGGCTAGAGAAACCCCACCTTGTCGGCCAATCACGGCCCCGCCTGAGGCGTGTAACCTCCCAAAAACCACAGAGAAGGTGAGAGGTTCACTTGCAAATCCTCATATCATCAGCAACAATACACAGGGATTAATTCAAATGTTAACTCTCTTCATTAATGCTTCCCCCCTGAACTTGTGACTAAACATCAGCTCTACCCTTGGCAGGTAATTACTGAGGCAATAAACAAGTTTTAGGACTACACTGAATTAAAATGCTGTCTTCCAAATCCACTCTTTTGCAATGGATGACTGGAACTTTTTTTGGTATGTCAGCCAGGGAGGAACACATTGCCTGATGACATGTTCACAACTCTGGAAAGTGAGAGTAAAAGAAGGAGCAGAGGACAGATAGGCAGAGCAGTTGTAAAGGAAGCTAGAGTGCAATAAGAGGTATAGAAGTGGAACAGAGCCTGTGGGACGGGGGAAATGGAGCAGTAGATGAAACTGCAGGAGTTCATGGTAGAGGAGTCAGTAAAGAGGCCATACTTGATAACAGGCTTCAGCTGCTTATGTATCAGGATTCCTAGAGCTCAGTAAAGATTAAATTGCCTAGAGCATGAGCATGATACTGTATCTGTGCTACCCTCTTAAGCTCTTTGTAGATGTGGCACCAAAGGTAATGGCAACCTTCTCTTTCTGGTTTATTATCTGCAGGAGGTTCACCACATGCCAGGCACTTCAGCCCCTAACACCTCTGCATTCCATCAGGATAAGACCCCTATGGGTGCTGTGACCCAGCTCTCTCAGGCATGGCAGGTGACCCGGCAGCACGTAGTACTGACTGCTGCAGAGCTCCAAGAGACACTGCAGAGAGGTGAAGGTGGTTCAAAAAGTGCTGTGTCATGGGGTGGCAGGTTTGAGAATAGACATGCTATACAGCAGCAGATCATTACCCAGCAGAGGAAGCTGTTGAAGGAGCAGCAAGAGCAAATTAACCGGCTGAGGGAGGAACAGAGCGTGACAGGTTTGAAGTTGGAGATGGAGAAGACTGCACAGCTCCTGCAGCTGACAATGAAAGAAGGCCCAATGCCAAAAAGCCACAGCTCTGACCCCACACAGCTGAGGTAGGGTCTCTGCACTTTACCGAAATGTATCCAGAGCCTGGGTGTGGGTTTATCACATTGAAGGTTACACCAGCAGTTGCCAAAACAGATTATAGATTTTAGACTTCCCTTTTACATTTTTCTTATGAAATAATAGTCTTCAAGCTCAGTGAATGACATTTGACCTTCTCAGCTTCAGGGTGCAGTCACCATGCACTCATTCAGTGAGTGTGAGGACAGTGACAGAGGTTAATAACAACTGTATGGACTGCTGTTAACCTGCTATGCATGCGATTTCCTGCAGGTCATGTTTACACAGTTTCCTGTCCCTCCCTGCTTTTGGCCTCAATAGTCCATTTTGCCTGACTCCACCATTACAAATGCAGCCATGGGCAATGCACACTTGTTTCTGCTATCACTGATTGAGCATATTATGTGCACCACAATCACAGGCAGAACAGAATAAAAACATTACACACCTCAACAGAGCTGGTCCATTTTAGAAGATCATAACCTTGTAGACCACAAATACAACTACACATTGCCCCCCAAATACTTTAAAACCCCCCTTTTACTTATTGTTGTCATAAGCGACAACAGGATGATTTGGGAGTAAAACCCATTAGCTGTGAATAGCTTCCATTATTAAATACAAGTCACATAGGAGTAGTTACAAAGAAATACGATTCATAATATATAGACGGTAAAGCCTAGAGAGAACATAGGAGCATTTATTTGTGTAAAAGTTAATATTTTTATGCATTCAATGCTTATTCAGTCATTGGGTTATTATGTGACTACAGATGAAATATGCTTTCCAATAATTCTGTAAAGTCTTGAACAGGGTTTTGAAATGTTTTTATGAGGAAAAGACAAAGTTCTGCAGCACTTCATTGAAATTTATTTACAGATTTATGATGCATGTCAGTTGACTTTTGCCTTTAGTCAATACCTGTCTGAATGAAATTTCCGAGGGAAGGATTAGGAAGAAGTGAATATGCAGAAAGAGTCAAGCCTTTGCTTCTGTGCCTATGGCTGTGACTGTTACTGTTGCAGGGCAGCAAGAGATGCTGGAGAACCTGACAGTCTCTGTAAACCTCAAAGGAAAGCTGTCGCACGCCAGACATGCCCTCATCCAATTATCATGGGTCAGTTCCTTCACTCTGCAGGAGAAAACGCACAAACTCACATACACATGTAAACATACACAGAAGGTGTATATCTTCTTCCAAATATAAATTTTACAGATATTTAGCCTTCTAACAATAGCGCTCACATTTACATAGCTTCCAGTTACATGTTCAGAACACAATATTAAAAGTGAAATTTACACAAACACGCACATGTTCATTCCAGACTACTGTAGGAGATCACCTTATGCTCAACTCACCCTTTTCCCTACTGTATTTCTGAAGCCATGGATGCCCGTGCACGTCAGCGTGCAGAGCGAAGAAGGGAAATTGAGGAAATCAAGAGAAAAAAGGAAGAGGAAAAGTTGGTGAGAGATTGGAAAGTTCTGTCCTGGGCTGCTTTGTTGGAACAGTCTGACACTGTGTTAATAAAATAAATAAATAAATGTAACTAGAGAAGCCAACTTTTCAGGCTGACATGAAAGCCGCTGAGGAGCAGAGACAGAGGGAAGAAGAGGAGGAGAAACGCAAAGCAGCGGAAAAGAAGAGGGAGGAGAAAAGGCTGGAAAGAGAGGTGAGATGTATTTCATATATTTTATTGATGTTCACAACGATACGAGCCAGAATACATGAACAGTCTGAATAGAGAATACATGTTACTCCTGGGAGTAACACTGTATGTGACGTAGCATGACTGTTCTCTTGTGACACACTGCAGAAGATTAAAATAGTGTCACCCCCTTTGTTTGTGCAGAGGGAAGAGGAAAAGCAGAGGCAACTGAAAAGACACCAGAAGCTCCTGAAACTGGCAAATCAACACTACCACAGAACCTTGTTGCTACATCGAGGCCTGGCACCATGGAAATGCCTCCTTGAGCTCAGACAAGCCAACATAAAGGTAAATGACATGTCACAATCATTTTTCAGTCAGAGTCAGATGCAGGATCTCACTTCCTATATCTTACATATTAAGAAGGAAGCAAGGAGTGAGGTGTTTCATTATAACTGTTATGTTTAGAACAAGTTTACAGTTAGGAAAAGGGAATCATTTTGCTGTCCAAAAGTAAATGTGCCACAATATCTCAGTGAATTCCACAAATTTAAATCATAAAAAGCCTCCTAGACTTGTTTGAACATTTAAAGGAGTGCGTACATTACTGCATGTGCACCCGCTATCTAGTTTGGTGGCTATGTGTTCACTGATTAGTCTATTTAAAGGCTTTTAATAATTCAAAACTTGACAAGCAGCTTGCACGCGGACCATTAATGAGAAAAATGCTTCCAAGTAATTATCATAGTAAAAAGCTTCTTCTTTTCATTTTCCTTTAAGAAAGATTGCAAAGATTATTCGGGTTTAAATTTTAGCGATACATAAATAATTGCCATGCTTTTTCCACTGTCATCTTGTGTATTGTGGTCGCCTTAACTGAAGAGGTAGAGCTTTGCAGACATGGAAAACAACAGTGAAAAACCTTTGACATAAATAGGAAGTCTATTAAAGCTTTGTCATTATTACAAGAACCTCTTCATCTATTTAGTATATGTACTTTGCCTTTGCTATAATTTTTTAATGAATTATCCTTGTAGCTGGGATAATTTCTTTACCCCTTTCACACACACTCAAACTAGGCGAAGGGAAAAGATCCAAACAAAGCGTGTGGCACAACTCTCTAGCTGCATTCCCTTGACAGTTCTGTCATTTCATTTTCTGACTGTTCCTAGCTTTGCACAGTGTTACAAGTAAGGCAGAAAATCTTCTGCTTCTCATGCACTCAACGACAAATGCTTCATCATCTCATACCACCACATTGTTTCTCTCTGGCACATATGATTAACTTTGGATGCATTCATTAGCATACATCTGCACTTTTCTTTTCAATCCCCACCAGCTGGCTGAGAGTCATCACAATCTTGTCCTCCTAAGGCGGTGCACGCTAGGATGGCAGCAATCAGCGAGAGAGTTGCGGTCTGACAAAGAAGCTTCTGCTGACCAACTACACCAGCACTTTTTGCTTCGAAGGAGCTTAAGTTGCTGGAAGATAGTGTGTATACCCACCGCTCTAACACACACACACACACACAGTTACTCAGACAGGATTGCAATCGTCTCATTTTATGTCGGTGACTAACCGCTTTTCCTAATCTACAGTGCCTGCACTCAATTATGTTTTAGGTGCATAGTCTTTTAAAGAGAAAAAGTTCAAACCATTCTCTACTTATTTTCTTGGTTGAACTAGTGCTATCGTCATCACTTCAAATTACTGAGTAACTTGAAATTGTTTCGAATTAGTATTTTACTACAGATCAATGGGACATATTTAGAATATCATTATCTCTAGGCGTGCGTTGTTTGTTTCAGCTGAAGGACTGGCGGATAATTCAAGAAGAGCGAGCCGAGCGTTTCTATCGCTCTCACACTCTGAGGAGATTTCTGCTGGCGCTGCTGGACCATGTCACCCAGGAGAGGCTGGCAGAGTGGGACCGCCTGGAGCTGGCTCAGGAACACAATAACAGGTATGCTACCTGTGACTTTAGCATATGGTCACTGTATGGATGCTGCAGTTTGTTCCCACAGTAACATAACAAGCTAACAGGGAGTTAAAATACATTTAATAAACTTAAATTACAAATTGAGCGCTAATATCAGACCAGTTTTGGTTATGTACACCAAGAATGGAATGCCTTGAAGGCCTTTATGACAAATATTAATTTAAATCTAGGTACTTTTTAAGGCCTATTTTACAACACTTTGAAGACCTTTAGTAATAAGTAAACTTGATTTGCTGTTTAGTGCAGATCCAGTGAAATGCCTCACATCTGCTGGGTATAGCTACATTAGTTGACATGACAAAGTGGTTCATGACTATCATTTCTGGCTCCAGGTAACAAAAAGCACAGCATTTGCTGTCTTAATTCTCTTTTTGCCCATCTCATATTCAGTTAATTTTGACTACAAGGGATACATATTTCCAATGAGACTAAGAGTCTATTGCCATGTTGGCAGCTCTATGAAGCAGAACTTGGGCACAGCAGTGCTAATGTCAGCATCCTAACATGCTTATAAGGACAATGTTC